TAAAAAAGGTATGTGGGGTTCCTCGGTGGCGTAATTCTTTCGCGGGCCCAGGCTAGACTTCGCCCTTCCTGGGGCAGCTGGCCAGCCGCGCAACTGCCGCAATTTTCATGTGTCCGTGGAATGCCCGGCGGAGCGACGTCTTTACGCATGCCTGAACTAGACCTCGTCCCCCTTCCTTCCATGGGGGCTGCCAACTGCGCCACTGTCACCACATTCGCAAATCCCCGGCAAGGCCAGCGATGTCGACGTCTTACGCAGACCCAGCTTGCACCTCGCCTTCTCCTGGGGCTGCCAGCTGCGCAACCGTGGGGGCTGCCATTTGACCAATCGCTGCAAACTGCGCAACGGACGACACTCTCATGAACGCATGGAAGTTCCAGCGGAATGACGACCTACGGAGAGCCAAGCAGGCGTCGCGCTCCTTGCGCGGGCTGCCAGCTGGGAAGATTTCTAAGCCAAGAAACATTCTGGCGTTTTGTGGGAAGTCCAGCGAAACGTCGTCTGACGCCGATTCCATTTCGACTTCGCAACCGTCAACGGAGCGACCGTCGACGGGGCAACCGTCAAATTCGAGTCGGGGCAGCCAGCGGAGCAAGCGTCGCCTTGTTCACGAGCTTCTCACACAACAAAAAGCGTGTTTTGCCGTTTGGGCAGAAAACCAGAGGGGGGGTCACTGGTGGTTTCCACCCCCCCCCCTTCGAAAACCGGGAAGGAATCATTGGGGGTTCCAACCCCCCCCCGGGGTCCATCATGAAAAGGGAAGGGGGTGTCACTACCAGTTCGACCCCCCCCACGCGGAAAACCAGGGAGGGGTTATTGAATCGCTTCGCTCATTCCGCCGGCCCGTGATATGGCATCGCTGGTTTTTGTCTGTGTGTTCGTTGCCCATGTTGCGCTCTTGGGGGCGGGTGTCGTTCGGACGCGTTGCGTGGGGAGTTTTGATGGTGAAGCAGTTCCCTGGGGGTCGTCTCTCGATGGGGCGAAATAGAGTCGTCGTCAAGATGCTTCTTTGGGGGGCCTCTTGGGGTCTGTTGAGAGGCCGTTCGGGGGCGCCTGGGAGACATGTTTGAAGCCTTCTGGGGCTTCTTTTGGGCCTCCTGGGAGTCTCCTGGGGCCTCTTGGCGACATCTTGGGGCCTCTTGGAGGCCTCTTGGGGCCTCTTTGGGACCTCCTGGGCGCCTTCTGGGACGGAGGGCTCCATTTTTGAGTTCTCGGTATCCCTCCTGAGTCCCTCTTGGGCCCGTCTTGGGGCCTCTTGGTCCGTCTTGGGCGGCACTTGGGCCGTCTTGAGGGCTCTCTTGGGTCGTTTCGGCGCCGTCTTGGGAGCTTCGTGGGCCGTCTTGGAGCGGTCTTGGGGGCCTCTTGGGCCGTCTTGGAGCGTCCGGAAGCCGAAAAAGCCAGAACACAAAAAACATAAAAAAAAACAATGACAATCAACGATTTTGGCCTCTTGGGGCTCTCTTCGGAGGCCTCTTGGAAGGCTCTTGGGGCGTCTTGGAGGCCTCTTGGGCTGTCTTGGGGGCCTTTTGGGCCGTCTTGGGGTCATCTTCGGCGTCTTCGAGCGCTCTTTGGGCGTCTCGGGGGCCTCTTGGGCAGTCTTGGGGGCCTCTTGGGGCACTCTGAGCGCGCTCTGGGGAGCCTGAGAGGCCGCACCCAGAAGGAAAACCATCTCTGAGTAGACTTGGTCGGGCGGCGGTCGGGCGGCGGTCGGGCGGCGACCGAGCGTTGGTCGGGGTACTTTTCGCCGGGGGACCCCCAGGGGCCGCCCCGCGCGCGCGAACTAGAAATACTGTTAATACTGTTAACCAGTTACCGGAGATCTTAGCACGCCCTGGCCCGTTGGGCCGGCGAATTACACGTTCGACCCCCTTATCGCCGCAACGACCCGTCCTCCCCCCCCACTCCGGATGAGGGATTGTGGTGGGGGCTGTGGTTGGGACGGTGGTGGTGAGTGGTGATGGTGGTGGGGAATGGGGACAGTGTCCCCCCCCCTCGCCGCAACGATTCCTCCTTCTCCCCCACTCTGGATTGGGGACCGTGGTGAGGACAATGGTTGGGACGGTGGCGGGGATGGTGGTGGGGAGTGGGGACTGTGTCGCAGTGGTGGGGACAATGGTGGGGACAGTGGCGGGGACAGTGGGGACAGTGCGACAGTGGTGGGGGCACTGGTGGGGACAGTAGGGACACTGGTGGGAAGAGTGGGGACAGTGGGACAGTGGTGGGGACATCGGGGACAGTGGGGGTAGTGGTGGGGACGATGTGGTGGGATCAGTGGCGAGGGGACAATGGGACAGTGGTGGGGACAGTTGGGTAAGTGCGACAATGGTGTGGACGGCGGTGGTGGGGACAGTGGTGACGGTGGAGGTGAGGACGGTGGCGGGAACAGTGGGGACAGTGGGATTGTGGTGGGGACGGCGGTGGTGGGGACAGTGGTGAGGGCGATAGTGAGGACGGTGGTGAGACAATGGAACAGTGGTACAGTCGTGGGGAAGGTGGGGAC